AACGAGGGTTAAAGAGGCAAGCAACAATTTCCCGAGACGCACCTTAAAAAAAAAAAAAAAACTAAGAGACACAAAACAGAAAAGAAAAAATACATTTTGACAATGCACAAAGACAGTTGAAATCTTCGCGAAATGTGGATTTTGAGTTGTTAAAAATAAATAAATAAATCTTCGCGAAAATCGACGGCGGGGGAATTCGAGGCAAAAATTGAATAAAAAAATCCGAATGGCAAAACAGTGAAAACACCAACCACACTGACCAGTGCTACAGGGGTTAGGTCCCACTAGCAAAGAGGATTGGATTGAATACCTGAATCTGGACTTGTTTGTGGAAAGGTACAGACTGTCGAGATAGAACTGCTTTTCTGCATCTCTGCTTAAAACACGTCCAGATTCAGGATATTTATCCAATCCTCTTTGCTAGTGGGACCTCGCCCCTGGAGGTTCCAAATCATTGAGAGGCGATATCAGGAAACGTTTCCGGAAAGTTTTTTCTTTTTTTTCGTAACGATAGAAGTGACAGCCAAACATTTAAAAAATATATATATATATAAAATTGCAAAATATCAACCGACCAATTGATTTATTTATTTTTTTTAATTGATGTTTTGTAACTTTGTTCGATTTTTCTGATCGGCTTTGTCGAGATCTTCTGACCAGGGACGAGGTCCCACTAGCAAAGGGGATTGGACTGAACGCTTGAATCTGGACGTGTTTTCTGCGCAGATGCAGAAAAGCAGCTCAATCGAGATTTTCCGATCATCTTCAACTGACGGATTGATTGATCCAAAAAAAGTTACAGAAAATCAATTTAGAAATCAGAAAAAAACAATTGGTCGGTTGATACAACCATTCGACTGATGGATTGACTGGTGGATTGATTGATTGATTGATTGATTGATTGATTGGTTGATCTATTAATTGATCGAACAAAGTTACAGAACATCAATTAAAAAATCAAAAAAATCAATTGGTCGGTTGATACAGCAGTTCGACTGATGGATTGACTGATTGATTGATTGATTGATTGATTGATCGAACAAAGTTACAAAACATCAATTGGAAAATCAGAAAAATCAATTATTCGGTTGATACAACCCTTGGACTGATGGATTGCCTGGTGGATTGGTTGATTGATTGATTGATTAATTGATTGATTGATTGGTTGATTGATTGATTGATTGATTGATTGATTGATTTGATTTGATTGATTGGAAGGGGAGGGGATGTGAGACCACTACAAACCGACAAAGCGAGGCGTAGCGGACCAAGATTGCTTGGTGACAGCACTGCAATCAGCTTGCGCGGGAAATGCACTAACATTTGGCTGGGTGTGGACAGGGCTTGGGAAGGGGGGGAATCACGCCACGTGGCGCACAATGTCTCGAGGAAGGGTTGTCTGAGAACGAAAGAGAATGAGGAGCGATGGCTGCGGACAGCGAATTGAGAGAAGGAGAGGAAACGGTGGAGGAAGAAGAAAGGAAGGAAGAAGGCAACCTCAAGAACGAAGAGTAAAGAGCAGGAGCGGTAGGTAGGTAGGTAGGTAGGTAGGTAGGTAGGTGATTGAAAGAGCAAGGAGGGGGCTGGCATGAACGGGAGCTTGCGCGCGCGCCACGTGGCATGAACGGCAGCTTGTGCGCGCACACGTGGGATGAAT